AGCTGTTGTATTGGATTGCATTACATTAATTAACCTTTTGTTTTAAAGTATTTAGGTCAAGGTCCATTTCAGTCTCAGTAAAAAAAGCCGTTTGACCACAGCCTACCTCTCCTGGTGGGTGGGTAGGGTCAGGAGGCAGAGTGCATCCAGGGAAGTCCTCCCAAAGAAGCAGCGTCTCCTCGGTCTCCTCCCAGGCCAGGCTGTCGCAATCATCCTCAAACTCACATTCTCGCCTTTTAATAATAACATAAACGCACACACATTGAAAATATCAGGACTGAAGGACGCTAACATTATACTCATCATATTTCAAAGTCAGACCACTCACAGTTGGTTCAGCATCCTCTGCATCTCCTCATTGATCTGATTGGCTGATGAGCCACAGTGCTCTTCATCTTTGACCACGCCCCCATCACTTTCAGAGGTGCTGACAGGTTCTTCACACTCGCTGCCATTGAAGGACAGGGGAGTTTGTTTCCGGCGGCAGTTTAGGGATGATTGGTTGTTAGGAACCTGCAGCGATATAATTAGGATTCAGACCGCCACTATTAATATACAGGACAAATATACAGGACTCTCTGGATTTGTTAACAAATAAAAGAATCAGAGATGAGAACATTAGCTGCCTGGTACCTGGTACATCTGGATCACATCTTCACAGTTCCTCTGCTGAGCTACGTCACAGAGACGAGCGGTGATGTCGATCCTGCGGCAGATGTCCATGTCCACCTTCATGGCTTTCTCCTGTATCTTACTGTCCAATTCTGACAAATTCTACAGAGAGGGGGGAGGGAATCAGATAAGAAAAAGGGGAAAATACTGCTATCTACTGCTTTATAAATGCTAATAAATCACTGCTGTAAATACATTTGTTACTAATTATTTATAAATTAGCGATAAGCAGTTTCTATTGGATAATAATGCAGGTGTGAAGGATAGTAATCTATATAGGGTTTGGGTTTAATAATCCATTAAGTCTGCAGGTGTAAATGTTAATCATCAATCATCATCAGTTTCCAGGCGTTAAGTGGTCAAATGGCCGATTAAAGGGGTTTGTTTTCCTCTGGCAACAAACATGGCAACCTAAAGTTAACGGCTTATTACTGATCACAACATCAATTGGTCCATTGACACTGTGACTGATTGAGTTTTGTTTCAGATGTCACACTTAAGCCAGTTACAAATTACGAACCCTTTATACGTGGCTTCTCATTAACAGTAAATAATAACATAATTTAACTTTATGCCACAGTTCATACATTGAGACATGATTACTGTTAATGTGCACAGCAATGAGTATGTCTGACTAGTATGTGACTGTATAGGTTGTGCTGCGCTCACATTGCTCATGAGGCCTTTGAAGAGAACCAGCTCTGCCTTCAGTTGCTGAACTCTGAGAGCCAGCTCGTCTTGACAGCCTTCGCTCTCCTGCAGGTCCTGCACACATAAAAGGAAGCCATAAAGAACACACCCATGTACATGTAAGTGCTTACATGCCCACACACAGCCAGGGCCTGACACGGCTTTACTGGAAATTACAGGTTACATTATCTAAGCAGAGATCGTCGACAAAATAAAAGCCTATATCGGAAAAGCACATAAAGACATTGTAAATGCATAATCCTCTCTGGGGAGCTGGATTTGTCTGATGGCATCATAATTCTCTCTTCTCCTTGCTGACTTATTCATGTGTGCTACAATACTGGTCAGGCGTTTTTCAGTCTCAAGTGGTGTTTTGCTGTTTGTGGTCTTATGTTAATGTGGTGGTGTCTGCTAAATGGGTTAAGGTGCAGATTCCTGGCAATGGTAAACGTGTATTCAAACACACCAGAATGTATACACACGTGCACACACCTGCCCACACACACAGGAAAACACAAAACCATTTGTTGGAAGGAAGTACAAATATGGCAATCACCTTGACAGCTTAGATGTCAGAGTCAGAAAAGAAGTAAAATCTCTTTTATTCAAAATAGATGATTTCTACAACTTTTAATGAGTTGACAACAGTCCATGCACTGTAATCAGTTGATTGTCAGGGGTCAAAGAGAGAAAGAAAACCAATTGAAACAGCTTTGTATGAGTCAGGATTTAAACCAATATAGTAATGACACATTATGCACAAAGAAAATGAACAGCACCAGCAGGGTGAGAGCTTACTGCTTCCCACTCTACCAGCTTCAGCATACTCTGTATTTATACTCTCACCAGTTTAATGAAAACTAAACATCTAAGCTTTTTAACCACTGATACTGGTTGTTGTTCACAGGACACGTTTGCAGTATTTTTAGGATAGCCAAGATGTCACACCAATAATTTATTTTGGTTGTTAGAATGAGTCATGCTGATTGCAAAGCTGCCAAATGTAGAGATGACTTCAGTGCATTGATGATCTCCAGCCATGTCACACAGGTACACACACTCTCACACAAAGGCCTACATAATCTTACCTCCTGTAGGTCTGTCATTTTCTGTTGCAGATCCATCCTCATGGTGTATTCTTCTTCCCATCTAACACAGATACAAGAAGTAAACAATCTTTTAGTCTGTGTCTTAATGTAAACAGAGAACAAACAGGCAGACAGAGAACATAGAGGCCATGGGTTTCGTCAGTTATGTACACATGGTCTATTTATACCGATATATCTGCAATAAGCTGCTATCAGTCTGAAAAGGGACATCTTCTCCTACCTTACAACAAATCTAACTTGACACTTAGCTCATTTAAAGGTTCCCTGTAGAGTTTTGAACTCTAGTAGTGCTATGGAACTGTTTTTCTATGAGTGGCTCATGGCTTCACATTAATCCACTGATCTACATGTGGCGGTAACGCACCAAGATATGCAGCAATGCACCAGCATAGACGGGGAAGAAGAGGTCAGCTAGTAAGTAAACATGAATGTAAACAATGTTGTATTTAAAATACTCACTCAGCTTTGCAAATGTTTCATGAGGAAGGAAAAGCACTCAACACGTTTGCTAGAGCTCTAGGATATACACAATGAGTTTGGGAGATTAACACTGAATGTAAACTCCACAGTTCACCTTTAAAATCAATCGCCATCACCTACAAAAGGAGGAATGCCACCAGAATTTGAACGTCAGGTGCTGGATTCTCATTTTATGTGCACAAGAATGGTAACTGGATTTCAATCTGGCTGGTTGACTGATAATAAATTGTAAATGCAGTTTAGTTCAATTATATTAGGATACAAATCTGAATAGAAGTTGCATGAAACAACCAGGTGGGAATGGGAAAAGGGATTTGTAAATTTAATGATTTGCTTTTCACTCACTAATAAATTTATAAAAATGTTTGATGTATCGTGTGCCACTATGGTGCAACTCAGATGTCTGGCCCTTGAATTTATGCTTTAAAAGCGTGAGCACAGACCCTGTATGTGATCACAGATTCTGTGACTTCATACAACACACATGCCCAGGGGAAATGCACTCACTGCAGAGTCTGTAGCTTCTTATACGAATGCTGTTTGAAATGCAGAATGCTGCGCCACATCAGGACCTGTAGGGAATACTAAATCTGAAAGAAACTGAGTCATGAAACCCGAGTTGTTGTCGTCGTAGAAGATGCTTGTTTGATCAGTAAGGTGAGAGCGCGCAGAAAGCAGTGCTTCCTTCTGCAAGCCAAGCCCCCATCCAGCAGTTACAGCTTGCAGTGCATGCTGCATTGCAGATACAGTGTGGAGTGTGCTAAAGGGGGATGCGCAGTGGGTGCGAAGAGAGGCATGGGAAAGGAAGTGTTCAGCATGTGAGACTGTGTAGGTTTTATGTGAGAAAGAGAAGGTGAAAGTGTGGTGGGCAGGACTAGAGGGAGGGTACAGGGGGAGAAGGGTGAGAAAGATAAAATATCCTTAAAAAAAAGAACAAAACTGGAATTGAAAAAGAGGCTAAATGCACCAAAAAGCTTTAAGATAAATGAATTCATATGTGAGTTTATGTTTTCAAATAGTGAGATATGAAAACAACTCACTGGGGCAACAAGATACATTTCATTAATAAATTGGGATGTGTTATAAATATTTGAGTGCATAGGTAATGGCGATAAATCTGAAGGACAGAGTTTCACTCGGAGAATCAGGCTTTAATGTCCCCCATTGTCCCGAGGTAAACGGATACCTACAGTAAGCTTACAGGAGGTTGAGAAACAGCCCAGACCACTTCCAGAAGGCTGAACACAAACTGATGTGAAAACCGAGTGTGACACAGTACATCACACACCTTAACTCACAGGTAGTGAAACACAAATATGTCCACGCTCTGGACAAGAGGTCAGGAAGTCATCCTCTCTCAAATCTCTGCACACAAGTAAATTGTGTGTCTGATGTCACACGCTGTTGGGCAGGTTGTGTCATACTTGTCCTTCACAAAGAGCCCACTATACTGTGGTCAGAATCTCCTCTGTGAAGAATGCATGGCTGCTCATTTGGACATAATATGAGGGAATTCAATGATGAATGTGCTGGAACATGGGGGCTACTGTAGGTCACTCAGGACAAATACATAATCTACAACTGTCAGATATCCATCAAACTCCTGACAGAGTTTACAAGATGTGAGCTTTTGTTTCCAAGAATTTAAAAAGGGGAAATCCACACTGATCACACTGTGCCATTCCAGTGGTCTGCAACCACAGACAGCTGTCGCCCCCGAACTGGAAATCAGAGTGGTCCAGATATGAAGTGGTGATGTCATTGGGTGACACATTGTTGTAAATTAGTGCACTGATTAAAAAGAAGAGGGATGAGGGTGGGCTCAGATATGGTTTGTGTTTGAGATGTTGCATGATGCTAGGGTAGCAACGAATGAGTATTTTCATTGTTGTTGTTGTTTTTGTCTACAAAATAATAATAACATTTCCCAGAGCCCAAAATCGATCTTCAAATAGCTTGAGACAGAAACATAGATGAAACAGAACAACCAAAATATTACTGTTTGAGAAGCTAGAATTGGTAACTAGAACCAGTGACTGAAACATAATAATATCAACAATCTACAAATCATTTCAGCTAGATCCAATTTAAATTGTAAGGCTTACAGCTGTGGATGTCCATATATCCCAGTAAAATCACTATCAGGTGCTGTTAACGCATCCTGGGGTTTGTTTCAATAAGAGGCTTTACTGGACCCCCTCCAGGATTTGTCTTGATGACATCAACATTACGTCTTTCATTTTAAGAGGTTAAACAAAAAGCTCTATTTCACGATGGGTTTTCCTCAATATTCCTGTAAACTAAAGGCCCCCATGGGCGAGTCAGGATCTGAAGTGAACATTTGTCCCACAGACTGCTCTTCACACGTCTCTATTAAGCTTTGACCTTCATTCTTCTTTATATTTAGCCCCCCGTGACGAGTTAATTTTATTTGTGTGTATTTCTAGCAGCAACACCTGCCTCTGTGGTCAGACATGAAGTGGATGCAGGGTCAGGCTGGAGGTGATGGATGGAGGGGCTTTGTGCTGACTCTGCTCCTGTTTGAGACAGCTGGTCTGCAGCTGCTTTACAGCTCTGCTCGCTCCTCTAAAGTGGAGCATTACACACACTTAAAAAAACTACTAATAACTAATAAAAGGGTTTAACTCCATTTACCTGCGTTTATACTCGTCTCTCTCCCTCTTCACTTTGGCCAGGACATTATACAGGGCTCTTATCTCAGGGGTGATGGTGTCAATCTGGACCCCAACTCCATCAGGATGCACCCAGGACACTCCTGGGCTGGTCACACGCTCCGCACCGGGGCCATACTTGCGGGTGTGGTTGTAGGACCAGATGGTGCCCGGGAGGAACCGTGGAGGAGGGTTGGTGGAGCCCCCCTGGCCTGCGCTGGTGTAGGGGAGAGTTTTAGAGCCAGAGCCGGGGGAGTCCACGCAGGGAGAGCACTGGCTGATGGTGATGGCTGGGTTACAACTGGTATTTGTTTGGGTTGAACTGGAGTTGTCAGCGGTTGCAGGTGCGAGGGTTGTTGTGAATGGTGCCGTGAACAGTGTTGTAGGCCTCCGGGCTGAGTTGTTGGTGTTGTGGAAGGGGAGGGAGCCGGGTCTGAGCGGTATGGTCCCCACAAATCCGGTCTGCACCCCTGCCTCCTGGGTATGCCCCCTGCTTTCACAGCATCCACCTTGACAGCCCTTGTTGGCATCCAGAGCCTGTTGCAGCTGCTTTTCTAAGATCTTATTTCTGCGCTCTAATTCATGCACTTTTGCTAAAAAGCATCTAAATCTCAGATTGAGAGTTTTGAGGACGCTGATGTTGGATCCCAAGTCGTTTCTGAGAGCCATGGCTGCGGGTGGATGCGGCACAGCGCGGTGCTGGTAGTGGCTGCTGTGGTTGTGGTGGAGGTAAGGTGAGGTCTGTGAGAGTGCAGTGAAGTCAGGCCCCGGCTGATCAGGCCCCGGACTGGGTTGCTCACCCAGCAGAAAAGACGTCGGGTCCGGTACACCGAAAACGACGTCGGGGAGGAGGCCGGAGGGAGAGTCTGGGTGTCCGGGTGCTTGGCTCTGCTGTGGATGCTGTTGGAGATGCGTATTGGCCACCAACAAAGGATTCATGCTATGGTATGGAAAACTAAAGCGCTGCAGATCTGGCATGAACACGGACGGGAATTTTCTTGCTACAACAGAATATAATGACTGGATGAATGATAAATGGTTGATAAACGTACCCGAAGGACGTGCGCACAAAACGCCAGTGTTCACCTGATTATATAACCGTTTCTAAATAAGAATCTGATCCTTAAAGCCGAGAGGGTTTAACGTCGGGCTGATGGATCAGTGCTCCTTGACCGTCCGCAACAAAACACCAAGAGAGCGACTCCAAAAAATAAGGGATTGAAAATGCGGCAACTCCGCAACCTGCGCTTCGGCGAGATGTTCTGCAAAATAAAAGCAATTAAACGAAAGAAAAAGACGCAGAGCGGTGAATGAATAACGGGGAAATCCAGCGTCACCGCCTCAATGAAGTTCTGGCAACAAGATGTGACCGCAGGAAAAAAGGAGCAAGTGCTGCGGGATTGGAGGAGGAAGGCTACCGTAAACACTGGAGTACAGGAGCGCTGATCCACCCCAGTATTGATTATTCAACGAGGCAGCGGTAACTTGTTTTGAACAAGAAATCGTTCAGATTTAGAGAAATTAGGAGCCAAGCAGACGTACATGATAATACAGTCTGAAATAACATATTCAAAATGTTGTGTCTCAGCCATTGGGAGTATATATGGTCTCAACTGGTTTGTGGTCATTTGATTATTATTAGAAAAAAATTGATTAGGTATTTTTGCTCGATATAAACTGATAATGAGGTGATGTGTCGTTTGTTGTGTAAAAAAATACAATTTACTGTTTTACCGGATATCATCTTCCAACTGGATGGGAGCAGTGAAACTCTGCCAGAAAGCTGAACAGCATAAACACTATTCCCCTTCATCGCTGTGTGTATTCAATAATGTAATATAACATTCAATAATGTTACATATTATTTAAGTACTTGTGTTTAATCAATGAACCACACAGCTGACCAGGTTGCCAGGCAGCATCCAGCTACAGATACTCATTGCGCGGCTCGTCAAGCTTTAATTGGTGGCTCGCATGGTAGCTTATAACAATATGGTAACACAGCCAATACATTTTTTCAACATGTCGCCTACATTAAAGAGTATTACGAGGTGAAACACTGCACTGACAAAACACACGCAAACATTGCCTTCCATATTGCTTCTTCTTTCACCTTCATTAATGTGTTTCCTAAAGGGCGCGCGCACTGCTCAAAGCTGGCACGCACAGCCCGCTTATCATCTGCGTTTACCGCCTGGGCTGCAGTGCAGCTTGCAGACCAGGTCATCCGTGACGATGCACGGCCACAAATGGCATGCATTGTCTAATAAAAAAGGGCGACAAAACCACCACCAGCGAAACCAGACGACAGACAACAAGCGTTGTTGCAAGACTTCAAGGAAAAGAGTCTGAGGAACACAAAACGAACACATCACCACATGAAGACTCGGAGAATTTTATTCTGTTTTCACTGCGCAATGAATCTGTGCTTAAATCAGTGCAACAAAAACCTACATGTACGGAATGCACATTTCAAAGGTGACTTTGGTCATGATCTTCATCTGACAAAAGTGGCTCTCCCCCTTGATTTTTGCTCTGCGAATGGTGGCTCTTGCTGAAAAAAACCTAGTGAGACATGGAGTGGGCTTTATTCTTCATTTTACAGACGTTATACTTGTTAAAAAATCTGTTACATTTATTTAACAGCCTGTCCAGTAAAAAGGGATGAAGGTAAGACTGCGTTTGCATCACCGTGAGTTCACACGCACTACAAAAAAAAATTGCCAGTATGATTTAAACTTGTCCGCCACTCCACAAACTCCCTTCCGACCTTCAGTGTGTAAGGGGAGTATTCATGACTTACAGGAGACGGTGGGATCTTTTGAAAAATGCAGCCTGCTCGGGCCACAGCTAGAAAATACATGATGCGTTTGCATTTTGGAGTGAACATTCTTCATTCCTTAACCTCCATCCGCTCATATAATAAAAAAAACTTACAGTATCAACCGCGCCGCTTCGCAGCGCTAAAGAATAAAAACTTCTTCACTACACAAACCACTGCAATGATGCCACATCAAGGGGATTTCACATTGCCTTGTACCCCATGCAAGAGGCGCAGACTGAAAAATAAGTGGGTGTACTCCCATGGGTCCACTAGCAGGATAACCTAGCAACCACAACCAAAAATCAGGCTGATGTATATCTATTATTAAACATATAAATTACAAGACAACAAGGAAAGAAGGTAGATTGTTTTATAAGTGATAAATACAATGTTTTTATTGTTGGTCAGAATGTGAGAAAGTACTAAAAGGCCCTGTACACCCACGGTAAACCCACACAGGTTGATTTTACTTATTTTGGTACATTAGTCCAAGGATAAGTCATTTTCACTGCACACATTTGAACTTTATCTATCTATCTATCTATCAGACAGTGAGTGTGCTAGATGTGGACCCTCTCAGATCTCTTCGTCCACCGGTGCTGCTGCAGTGTCTCTCCATGTTGCCTTGAGTGTCTAAGGACTCAAAGTCCAGAGCATCAGCCCCCACTGAGATATTACTTGTACAGGAGTCTGTTCTCCCTCTACTACTGCTGCCTTGATTCATGTTTTTTATTTCGACAGACAAAGACATGGGGTAGCTCCTTTTCCTCCTCCAGCTCTGGCAGTAGGAGAGGCTTATGCTCCCTTAAAGAGAAGAGAAGAAAAAGAGACACAAAACACAGGTCTGTTTTTATGGAACTTCCTGTTCAACACAAAGAGTCCTGTAAACAGTGGAAGTGGAAGGTTAAGTTTACTCACCTTCCTTACTTTCATATAAGCTCTCCTTCCTCCCCTGCGCTCTCCTCCTCTTTGCCATCTCTTGGCCGAACACAATCCCATACAAGTCATTCCTGAACTCCCTGTTCATGATCTGGTAGATTAAAGGGTTGATCACGCAGTGGGACTTGGCAAACATAGCAGGGATCAAGCTGACTACAGGTGGGAGGGAGGACAACGACTGGGGGCTCCTGGTCATTGGCTCAGCTTTGGACCTGAACATGGCGTCACTCAGGTCAGCAATGGAGGTTGAATTGTTTACTTCACTCCACTTGTTCTCAGGGTTGTAGTAGATTTGTCTATAATATTTTTCCGCTGTCCAGTTGAGCAGCGAAGGGATGTCCATGATCTTTGGACCATTCGGAGAGCTGGAGGCCATACCAGTGAACTCCTCCATAGCAGTAGCTTCTGTCTCTTGGTCATCGCTGGGAATGAGTGCAGAGACCAGAGACACGGTGGCATAGGGCATCCAGGCCACAAGGAAGGTGGTGCACACCACGGCGGCCATCTGAAATTAACATACGGTTTATTTTTCCTGCAGGACATGTATCAAGGAATCTGAAAATGATCCTTTACCTTTGTAAGTCTCAGCTCTTTGCTAGTGTGACTGACAAAGGAGGATGTTATAGATGCCAGAGTGCGATTAGATCTGTAGACCTGAAGACAGAAACAACAGTTATTTGCAGTTATACCATAGTTCACTTTACTTTATTCCTAAAATGACAAAATGCTGTATATAAAACTGCCAAGAAGAGGGACAAGGGGAAGAGAGAAAGGGGGATGACACGCAGCAAAGGGTCACAGGTTGGACTCGAGCCCGCTGCAGCAAGGACGCCAGCTCTACTGTGTGACCTACCAGAACACATTTTAGCATCTTTTACATTATTCTAAAGGCATATGTTTTTGTTGCTTTTGTTAAGGTTTTGTTGGCTGCCCATCCTTGCCACCTCCACATCTGTGATCAGAAGAGAGCGCCCAGTCTGGCTCACCCAGGATTCCCAGTTTCTCTGCCAGTTGCATACAAACTGTTATTATGTGTCTGTGATTTGATATGACCTGCTGGCCACTGTGTCTCTCAAATCTGTCTATAGATAGGACACAAATCATAACCTGTGAACCTGAGACACTCAGATTGGGACTTTGCCAGGTGTAGCAGCTTCTACTTATTTCCAACTATTGTCTAGTTACACAATACATTGCCTTTCCTGTGATTTGTTTGGATACTGCAGAGCACCTCAGTCAGCCATGGGTTTACTTTCCTTTATTTTTGTGTTAGACATTTGTTATATTACTGTCACTGATTTGACAACACCCACAGGCTGTTTTTGATATTTGATAGCTCCTCTATATTGTTGAATATATGTAACCAATTTAAGTTTGTCAAACAACCCACTCCTGAAACAAATAACTTTCTTGCTAAACTCCGACAGGTGTTATGTTGCCCTAGAGAACCCCTGTCCCCTGTAACAGTGCTTTAGGGAAAAATGTGCAATTTATAAAATTACAACAAACCAACTGACTCATATTGAATGTAGAGTCAATAGTTAGATCATATCTTGGGTCCCTGAGGAGGTACAACACACTGCTCTCTGCCACAGTGTCTTTTCCAGTACCATCACTAGAGGGTGCCAGAGTTGCAGCTTCCACATTCCCCACATAAGTTTAATATGATTGACTAATACATTGAAAACAAAAACAATAACAGAATACAGACACAGCTCCCAGATCCTCCACTTTGTGTCATAAAGCAGCACTTCTCACCGTCAGCAGGATGGCCAAATACGAAGTGATGATGGTGAGCGTAGGCAATCCGAAGCACAATATCAGCATGAGGAAAATGTAGATTCTGTCATTCAGAGAAGACCTCATACTCCACCTTGAAATAGTGATACAGAATAACAGCAATACATGTTTGTCTGCAAATGCATGAGGAATACAAATCAGAGAATATGCAGATAACACAGATGTCTACAGACTTTAGTGTATATAAACAGTAAAAGGCATCAAGCAGCACTAAATCAGAGATTACCAGTTGATAGTGCAGCTGATCCCATAAGGTTCTGGTCCATAACTTCCAAAGCCAAAAGCAGGCAGCGTGGCCCAGAACGATGTGTAAACCCACACCAGCACTATGGACAGAGACACATGGCGCATCTCAATCCATTGACCTAGAGAGGCAAGAAGCATGCAAACCACTTACTGCAACTATGTGTAAGCATAACGTTTACTCAACCTTGTGGGAAACCATTTTCCTGAAACATCAGCAAGTTTACCTTTTAGTGTTACCTAAGCAATCACAGAAAATCACTCTTTAAATCAATACTTTTTACAAAAAAAGAAGGGAGTGAGGGAGAGTCAGATAGATTTAGAGTGCAGTCGTGCCTGTGTGGATTGTACATTTTAGGTCTGTGTTAGAAGAAGACGTCAGATTTACCATATCTTAAGCAGCAGATCTTCAGGCAACGGTCCACAGAGATGAGACAGGTGGTGAGCAGAGAGCCGATGCCAAACACAAAGCCCTGGATGCCGTACCAAAGGCATCCTGTCTCACCAAACACCCAGGCATGACACAGGCTGACAGAGTGGGGGGGGAAGGGTTTTAGTCTGCCAGCTTAATAGATCATCACCTTCTGTCTCTGACAAATGGCTGCTGGTATAGACACACTCACAGTGTCATCACCCTGATTCACGTCTGGCAAAATATCCTGTACCTGGAAATGATGAAGAATGGCGCTCCCAAGAGGCTGAAGCCAAAATCACAGAGAGCCAGGTTGATGGTCATGAGTTCTGGAGGTCTGAGCTTCTTCCTTTTCCTGCTGTAAACTAACAACACCGTGCCGTTCCCCAGCAATGATACGACACCTGGAGAAAGAGTGATAGCATGGGAAAGGAAAGAACATACAGCAGGAGACGAATAATGTCATTTTTGTTCATCTTATCACAGTTCATTTACATTTGGTCTTTAAATCCTACAAATCCCAGTTGTTCATGATTACATGAAGCGGGCTGGTTTCAGAATAAATCAATGCTATTTTCCTCTTCATCAAGCACTAACCAGCTGCTCTACCTTCACCTGAACACTCATGTTGCCCCACAGGGAGCGAATCAGCCCAGACAAATCCCCACTCAAATTAACCAGACTGACTGTGAGAGGAGAGCATCTATTTATCTGCAGCTTCATCGATTTGTTGTGTAAACAAAACAGTGAAGGTAATGTTTAAGATGCAAAAGGCGTTCCCGCTGTTGTTTCTCTGTTGTTCAGCTCGATGCAAGTTGTTTGTATTCTGATTTTAATCAATGTCTAGTTTGGTTCTACTACTGGACTACTGAACAAAAAGAAAACATTCTTATGAGTAAATAATAGGGATGAGCGAATACACCATTATCTGTATCTGTATCTGTATCTGTATCTGTTAACCATATGAATTATCTGCATTTGTATCTGTACTTAAACCCTACATGGGTGGGGCTAATCAGAAATTAATTATTAATAAATTTAAGCCTGAAATTGATATGGGTTGTTTTGAATTTGCTATATTTATTGGGAAACTATTTACAGAACTATTTACTACTTGAAAATCAGAGAAATGTTTTTGATCACTTACACACAGAATGTCTCTTTAGATTTGAAGATAGATAAATAATTTATTTTTTTGTTTATTGCATTACTTCATCGGAGCTACAGTATATTACATTCATTGTAATACAAAGAGATAAATCATTTATGATCATTCAGGAACCATTTTTGTGGAGCTCACATCAAAACTTTCACATTCATCTTTGACGATATATGACATGAGGCTGTGTCTTTAAAAAAATTACAAAACTGAACCTGAGACTGACATAATGATATAAGTGCCCCTTTGCTTACCTGTGAAGGTAAGGAAGACAGCAACGGCTATGTCTGCAGAGGGGGACAGCTGGGAGAGGAACTGCGGGTGGATGGATGAGGGGACAAACCAGGAGCCCCCTTGCGAGCCATTCTCTCCCATGAATGAACTGCAGCACCCGACAACAGCACACAGAGAGGAGAGGCAACACCTGGAGCTTCAAAGAGCCACTGAAGGCATGAAAAGCACACAGAGAATAATAAAAAATACTCTGATACTTTGCCAACTACAAAGTGGAATTAGCAGCATGTGGAAGTAACATTTTCGCATGAGGATGAAAATGTCAGGCAGCACAGAAATGATACTGGCAACTTTATCCTGATATCTGCGTGGTTTCAGCTGAAATGCAGAAGCTCAAGAGGATGTAAAACAGAATACTGAGTGAGAAACTGAGACATTCTATAGTTCAGAGCTTCAGGTTTCAAAGTAATATTCATATTACAGATTATATTTTTATATCACTGCTCACTGGCTCCTAAACTTAAAAAAAACCCCATGCTACTCATTTTCTCTCCTCTCTCCGTGTTTAATAGTCAATAAAAGTGTTTGTTTTGATAAAGCATAGTCAATTACATAAATAATGACATATAACAGGAGATGAATGGAAATGAATGTGGATCAAACAGATCATGTCACACATGACACTTGACATATTATTCAGTTTTCCATTGATTTTAATGTTTCACAATTATTCAGGGAAAAGTGTCACACCACAGTAAAAGTGTAATCAGATCATTTAAATCGGTATCCTAGTACAATAAATAAATGAGTAATTATAATAAAGCCTTGTTGGTGATATTGCTTAACAAGTGCCCACACGGGAAAAACAAGGACTCTTTTCTTCATTGTTTGTCTCTCTAATGGCCATCTAATGATCCCAGCAAGTGGTCAGCTGAGCCTCATGACTGCCAAGGGGGTCAATATAAACTGAGACAATAAACAAAAAAATAACAGCATCAAGACAATAGGGAAGATAACAGAGCAGAGGTTTATTGAGAAAATCAACATTCTTACAAGCTGGAATGACTATTCTCCAAAAGCTTTAATGTTCAAACAAACAATATAAAACAAGCATCACTACTCACCTTCCTCTTGTCTGTCTGTCAGTCCCTTCCTGTGGGCTCTCAACTGGTCTTTATGGCAAAGACCTTCTTTTATAGTTTCAGATATTCCTTATTCTGAACCGTCCTTCTGTAAATCCATATGGCATTTCTCAGGAGAGCTGCAGAGAAAATTTGCTATTGACATCTGGCTTAGAAATGATCCGTGAGAGACATCCAAGCAGAGAAACAGTGGGAGAGAGAGAGAGACAGAGGGGGTGGAAGTTAAAAAAAAGAGTCTTTAACCTGTCCCGCCTTGTATCTCCTCTCCAGCTATTCACTGTTTTTTTCTTTTTTATTAACTGAATCCATATTACCCCTGTGGTTCCTTTCATGTCCTATAATACACTACTTTAATTATGATACACATTGTTATCACTGTCGAAATCAATATGGCCTGCGCTCACAATATTAACTGATGTTGGTCCCCAGGTTAAGATAAAAAAGGCTTTTAGATAGATTTGCCCCTCTTTCAGGAATAATGTACAGAAGGACCTGAAATTGTCAGAGCTCATTACTGTGGAGATTTTTAAAATTTGTCAATTTTAAAGGATTAAGAAATTAGTACTCTTTTGATTGCTTCTTGTCATTGAAAATTGTATCCTTGTTTCCTGACTTTGTATTCCACTGTAGTGTCACTCTTGTTAAATAAAGTATACACACTGAATATAAAGTGCACAAAGGAATTTAAACCTTCACATGTACATACATGTTGTCAGCTATGATGTTATGGAAGAACTGTTGCTTCAGTTTTGAATATTAAAGCAAAGGTAGAGGTGTTGGAAAATACTGCTATTATAAATAAATGTGTCTCAGACCTTCATTTTGACTAATTGGAAAACTTGCTAATCTGATATTTTAATTAACACACATGATTAATATTTCATTTTTGTTGTGACCTGACAGAATGAATGTGTTTGCTGCCATCAATGTCACAGACCACTTAGGAGCTGTGTCAATTTCAGTAATATTTAATGGAGGTTTTGTTAAATAAAAAACAAAACAAAAATCTTTTAAAAAGAAAACTAAACTTTCTATATGCTATACAGAGTGGTATTAAAGAAAAAATCCTTCTCATTTAAAGTCAGTGGAGCTCATATTTTATCCTCATGACCAGTGATTCAGACAAGTTACCAATAAATAGAGGAGCTTGGAAAACTGCAATAATAATCTGTTAAATGAATTTGAAACACTCTTTACCATTGTGGGAGAGCAAATCACTTACAGGCATAATTCATAAAAGCCTCATATTAAACCAGTGTAGTGGGCTTTTGTCAGGTTGTGTTAGTCATGCTACAGTACTCTCAGTGAGTGACCAGGTATTGAACAGAACTAAAAGGGGTTAGAGTGAAAAATATTTTAACAATGGATCTATAAAAGCAATATGGTGGTGTAACAATCCATTTGCGGGGCCAAAAGAAATTGGCCTCCACATTTCCACCGTACACAAAAGACCAAGCAATCAAGAGCTGTCCTCGTTTTCCCACAGGAGGCATCAGATCTACGGACAGAGAGCTATTGTGAAGGTTTGCTAAAGTCACTGACCCATATTAAGAATCCATATACTAAAAGCATCAATCCCACTGGAGCAGCTTTTCTATAGATTTGAAAAAAAAAAAAAAAAAAGAAAAGAAAGGAGGACATGAATCTCACAAACAGAGGACTTTATTCCACCACTGACTGCAGTACTTCAGTACTACAGACAGAGACTTTCACACCTTCACTCCATCTCACACAAGAACAGAACAGGGAATTTAAACAAATACAAAAAAGCAATTGGTCACCAATTAAAATCTTTTTTGCGCTCTGTGGGACTTTTCCTCAGGCATGTAATGGGGGTCGACCATCTGATGGAACCAGGCAGAGTCATACATAATACAACCTCTTATTGTAACTGTATAACTCTATAGTATCAGGAGAATGTGGGTGATGTGACATAGTGCAGTGACGGTCAATTGGCTGGTTGGGTTTACTCCTTGGCAGCCATGTGGGCCATCAGGTCGCAGACACGGTTGCTGTATGCAAATTCATTGTCGTACCTGGTTAAGAAGCAAGAAAACATTAAAAAAAGACTCAATATGCATCATCATAATCATGGAAATGGATATGAGGCATTGAAATTAATCCATGAGGAAGGCGTACCATGTGACCAGCTTGACAAAGTGGTCGTTGAGGGCGATGCCAGCACCAGCATCAAAGATGGAGGAGTGAGTGTCGCCGTTGAAGTCTGTGGAGACGACCTGCAGGAGAGCAAAGAGAAAGGACGCCTTGTTATTGAGAATACCAATTGATGAAAATGTTTTAAAAAGATCAGAGATGACACATACCTGGTGCTCTGTGTATCCCAGAATGCCCTTCATGGGTCCTTCAGCTGCAGCCTTCACAACCTTCTTGATGTCATCATATTTGGCCTGTTAAGATTAAAAGCATAAAATTACATTTTATTGTTACATAAACAAACTTATTCAAATTCTTAGTCTTAAAATTCCATAACACTAAAAATCAGCCTCTCGCTACTTTGACTTTTCTGCCTCATCTGTAACACTCCGCCTTAGTGTTTACATGACCACCTAGTGGCTGGAAATACTCGTTACCAGGAGAAATTCATTGCAGATTTTCATCTTTTCATGGAATTTGTGGACAGTAAGAAAATGTAAAATATTAACAATTAATTTTAGTTCATTAGTGCCAAGGGGGTCAATATAAACTGAGACAATAAACAATAAATGAACACAGTAGCATCAAGACAACAGGGAAGATAAAGCAGAGGTTTCTGGAGAAAATCATTCATTAATTGTTATGAATGCTTCTTGTTTGTGGTCACTCACAGGTTTCTCCAGACGGACAGTCAGGTCAACCACTGACACGTTGGGAGTGGGGACACGGAAGGCCATGCCGGTCAGCTTGCTGTAAAATACAGACAGTAGGTAAGGTCACATAGAACATATTGTCCTACAACAGGAGTTCTGCGTTTTTTGGCACTGACCCGTTGAGCTCAGGGATGACCTTGCCGACGGCTTTGGCAGCACCAGTAGAGGCGGGGATGATGTTCTGGCTGGCACCACGGCCGTCCCTCCACAGCTTGCCGGAGGGACCGTCCACGGTCTTCTGGGTGGCAGTGATGGCATGAACGGTGCTCTGATGGACACAGAGAGGAAGAGCAAGAAGAATTGTTAAATATAGCTGAACCCACTATAACTTTGTATTGTTATGTTGCTGTTTTGGACTGCATAGCAACTCATTCCCAGGCAGAGTGTTTTAATCCTCACCATCAGGCCCTCAATGATGCCGAAGTTGTCATTGATGACCTTGGCCAGGGGGGCCAGGCAGTTGGTTGTGCAGGAAGCGTTGCTATGGA